ATATTGGTGTGGTGTGAGGGTGTGCCACCTACGCGATAGTCACATTGATGCGTGCGGCTATATGCAGTAATGCGTCTTGTGGTAGTTGCGGGGTGATCTGCGTCTAATATCATTGCATCGTATGATTCTGGTTGACGGAGGTTCGAGGTGATGATGTCTGCTGAGTATGCGGATAGGCTGTATGCATGTTGCATTTGGTGACATTGCGTCTTGCGACATTTGCTTGGGAGACGATGCTATTCATAATGGCCGAGTCTGCGTCTCGGCTTGATGCACATCTCAGTAGATTTGTCCAAGTCGGGTTCCTGATGACGGAACTGCAGACTGTCTGACCTCTTTATACGTTTTATCATTATTAACGAATCTCAGTAGAGTTCCGACCGTTCGAACGAATAATGGCAACTTGCTGGTGGGTGAGACAAACTTGATCGAAAATACATTATACTCAACGTCAGAGACACTGACAAATAATTATATGTTGCCAATTATAAACCCTTCTGATGGCTAAACATAAAAATCACAACTATGGCTATATCTGACTATTTCAATGGTTGGTGGAGCATATGCGTTTACCTCATGTGGATGGTAGCTGGCGGGAGAAAACCTCTCAAGGCTGCGGCGATGCCGTGCAACGTTTTAACCATACCCTTGGGGTGAGCAGTGACTCATAACGCGCTCTGCGACGAAATGTCGTGCTAACCTTTTTAATGGTGGTGATGCCAAAACACTAACAATCACGTCTGCAGTCGCGGCGATCTGGCAAAAGTGGTGGCGCTTACGGAGGGCTTATTATATCATAGGGCCAGAGTGCCTGATCTGGATTTATCGTCGGCTTGTATGACGTTTACACGCATTGACATGCGCGACTTCGGTCAAAGTTTGTGCTTACGCACTGCCAAGGGGCCAAGCCCTCTTTATGCTGGTAAAACAGCTTTGCAATGGACTTCGGTCCTTTCCCCAACTTTATGTCCCTCTTCTGGGGGGGGGGGGGGGGCGCAATATGTTGGTTGGCGCTCACCGCACACGGCGTTGGTGAGTGTTTTCATGGAGCCGTGTGCCTTCCCTACATTTTTTTAAAATGTGGGGGAGCTGTTGACTTGTATCGGGTATGTGAAATTGATGTGAGCCCTTTTCAAGAGAGAAGGGATATTAGTTTAAAAATTATATTGTGAGCCCTTTACAAGCGTGAGAGGGAGTATACTATATACTCTGAGCCCGTCTCAAGCGAGTCGGGATTAGTTAATAAGAAAGCAATCTAGCATTATCTCTGGCTTATACCACAACTAGTGAATATTTATCTATCCAAGATCCACCTAAAAGAATCAAGTTACTAAATAAACACAACGTAAATGAGGTCCTACCGAATATGACGATCACAATAATATTTTATACGGCTAATTATTACCTTTAGAAAGATCCTATAGAAAGATCAATAAATTATCCTGGTCACGTAATGATGTTATATGATTTATTCATATAACGGGGGAAAAAATATATAAGTTATAATTATATATACACAATAAAGGGGGGGTGCGAGTTACAATGTTTAACATTGGAGGAAGTTGTAAATTTAATACATTTAGTTTTTTTTATTATTCAACAGTAAATTGTTAGCACTAAACCAATGTACTACAGTAGATAGAGTATTGTTTACATCGTCATAACTTAAAGAACGTCGGTTTACTTTAAAGATTAAAGAGGTATCATCCGCAAACAATACTATCTCATGATAATTATTAACAAGATAAGGTAGATCATTTATGTAAATGAGGAAGAGAAAAGGCCCAAGAATAAGGACCCCATATTTACCAAGGCCCCGGGAGATCTCTTGCCATTCACGTCAACTCTCTGAATTCGATGGCTCAAGTACGATTTCAGAAGATTGAGTGCGGCATCTCTTATACCATAGTGGCGTAGTTTCCTGACCAAGGTCTCATGCTGTACACAATCGAAAGCTTTGGTTAAGTCACAGAATATTCCTAAGGCATCCTGCGACTTTTCCCAGGCTTCAAAAATATTCATAACGAGCTGAACACCCGCATCAGTTGTTGAGCGACCCCTAGTAAACCCATATTGCTTGTTATGTAATAAATTATGAGAGCTAAAATGCTGTAACATTTGATTCACACATGATTTTTTCAAAAATTTTACTAAGAGTTGGCAGTACAGAGATAGGTCTAAAATTATTGGGGTCGGAAGTACTACCAGATTTAAACACCGGAATGATTTTACTATGTTTCATAAGGTCAGGAAATTCGCCACGATTGATACAAATATTAAAAATAGTTGCTAGGTAAGGTGATATTACATCAATAATAGAACTGATCACCTTAACCGAGATCCCCATAGATCTGCAGTTCTTTTAACATCTAAAGTTTTAAAAGTTTTAACAATTTCTGTCTTGTTTACAGTAGTAAATTTAAAGTTGACTTTACATTCCATAACATTCTTTTTTAGTAATGACTCAGCAACTGTCGGTGAGGAAAGAAGTGACTTGGTTGTTGAAACTGGAATGTCAACGAAAAATTTCTCGAAGAAAGTAGCAGCCTGTTGATTTGAGTAAATAGAATTATTATCATTAGTTAACATTAGGTCAGATTTGCGCTTCGTGACTCTTCCCGTTTCGCTATTAATTATTTTCCAAGTCATTTTAACGTACATAATACAACTCAAAAAATATTAAATTCGTCCCTGTCATCTGAATCAAAAAATTATTGGCATTGTTTTCTTTTTCTGATTTATTTTAATGAATTAATGCTTCGAATTGAAGCTGGTGCTCATTATTACTTAAATAGAGTTTTTTTGGAATTAGATGTTTAGTTGGCGTCTCTAAAAAATTACGATTTTCCCAACTCAAACGGATATCGGATAAAACCTTTTACTCGGAGATCTTGTCTTTGTTGTACTAGCATTCTTCGTGGGCGAGAGCTGTAAGTCGACTGGCCCTGAGAGAGGTTCCGAGTCATCAAAAATAACAGATTCGTGTATATTATTTAAAATTATGGAAGTATCTATGCTTAGTGACTGATCGTTATGTGCTTCAAGGGTTTCATTTGAATCTGAAAGTGTTACACCGAAATTTTTAAAATAAAGGAAGCCTAAATGTTTGTTATGTACACAAGGAATGCTACAATCTTGACAGCCAAAGCAGCTAAGGCGGCGTAAAGCGATGATCTTACTATGATCAGTAGTCCAAACGACTTGATGAACTTGCATCGTACCTTTAAATCCTGGAAAATTGGATGGTAATTCTTTTTCTACGATGTGTAACTATATCGAAATGTACATTTTTTATATTTTTAACAAATTTTTTATATTTTTAACAAAGTCTTCGCAAAATCTTCGAATGAACCAACATCTCCACCATATTTCACGAAATTATCAGCAGTCCGTTTAACAACAGCGCCAATGCAATCCGGCTCGTTTGCATGCACCTTTGACATGACCAGATTCTTGAAAATTCCATGTCACTCTAATAATACTGGGAATATTGTCTTTCAATTTTGTAATCATATAAAAATATTCTTATTTCTGTATTGGCTAGACGGCGTATCAGATAATAAATGTACAGTATTAAACGAAACTAGCTCATAAGCCATCTGTAAAATAGGGCATAAGTGAGCCCATATAGCTCCAGCATCATGTTTTAGGCAATCACTTATTGTACAAAACGATTTTGTTTGAAAGGTATCCTGTATGTTTTTATAGTAAATAACTCCTGTATGTAAGGATACCTGTTGACGACTTCCTCCGAAGTGGTAGGATTGTATCACCTGATTGTATTTTGAGTAGTAATTCTCACTAAAATCTATGTGTACAAGTATCTCATCATCTTTAAAATTTTGTTTTAATTGTTTGATAACCCCGTACTGTACTGTAATGTTTAGGTTGTGCTTAAGGAATGGAATTAACATTGACTCTAATTTGTAAATAACATCGCTCGGATAATCTTCAAGTCTTTATTTTATGGTAACATTTTATTCTTGTATCATTTTATTATGTATCCCATTCTTCACTGTATATGGGTTTTTTCTCTGCAATTCATTGATAAAACTTAATTTTTTTGTCGTTTTTGAATTCACGATAACTTAAAACTTTACTTACGCATGCTGTGCATGTACGTTCAAGACAGTTTTGCTATATCACAACAGAGAGTTTTAATAACGTCTGTACCAGTAGTTTCGGTGATGATTTCTGCAGTTTTAAAGCCTTGATTAAAAGATTTACGTTGGAATGTAGTTTGCACTGACAAGTCTCTCGATCTTTATTAGGAAAAACCACCCAGAAGGGTCTATATTTGCAAAATGTTGAATAGCTTATGCTACTTTGCTCCTTCAAGAACTTTTCATGCAATTTTTTTAAATTACCAGTCAGGTACCGCTTCTGTTTTTTCAGGCCTCTGTTTTTTATAAATTATTTATTCCCGCAGCAACTCTACTATTTGTGTCTTCTTCGAAAAAGGAATGAATGTCATTTATCAATGATTCTTTTTTTTCTATTGTGATGTTTTTCTTTCTTCTAACAAATGGCAACTTATGAAGTAGCTTATATTTCCTCAATCTTTCTTCATTATGAATTATCTGTCCTGCAAAATGTCTCTTTTCCTTTTTAGTCATTGTTTTATAGATGTCTTATACGTTCTGTGATATACTTTCACTAAAATGCAGTTGTTTTTTAACTTTTTTTATTTTCGGGTCCTATTACCGTTAAAACTTCTTCAATTCTTTTTTCGACAGAATCATGTTCTGGTTGACCTATGTAAAGGACAATGGCGAACTCCCATACAAAATTTGTTGAACAAATTTTTTTTCATCTTTAAAGGTGAGTATAGAGTACAACATTTACTAGTAACAGAACAACGAGCCGCTCTATGATATGTTCTAGTGTATCATCCTTTCGCGAACTAAACATCGAGCACGCTCGCCTCTTTGTTACAAACCATATTGCATATTGGTTTTTATTGCGTTTTGGGTTTTTTTAGCGAGCCACGAGTGCGGGCGATGCGCGGTTGCGGGGTGACGCGGAGGGAGAGGGACGAAAGACGCACGTGGTCCGCGCGGTCGTAAGTTGTTCAAGTTGACGCTGTGGTTTTACACGTGCATTACATTAGCTCGTTATTTATACTTATTATCTATTTTCTATTCAACTATTTCGTGGGATAGTGAAGAAACTTTATTGTTTATTGAAAAATACAGGAATCATGTAATTTTATGGGGTCCTAATCATGCTCAACATTACAATAAAATATTAAAAAACGACGTGTGGCAAGATATTGCTGCCGAAATGGAGATTTATGCTGATGACTGCAGAAGAAAAATGACAAGCCTTCTAGGTTCTCTTCGAAGAGAAAAAATGAAGATTGAAAAAAGTGTTGGCACTGGAAAAGGTTAGTGATGACAATAAATGCAAATATACATAGCACAGCTGATATATTCAGTTTGGATAAAATTATTACGTAAATGAAAAAGACGAATTTTATTTTAAATCGTTTTTTTTTTATTTACATTTACAGGAGCAGATGAAATTTACAAAAGTTCGTGGTTTGCGTACCAAAGTTTACAATTTATGCTGGATAGGAATAATCCACGTCCCGTTGATGATTCGGTGAGTTATTTTTTTAAAGGGTATTTCAATATTAAAATTTGTAAGTACCTACGCATATTGGTTTTGCCACTCTAACGCGCCTTCTTGAGGACATTATTCAGCAATTTCATCTCTCATTATTTTTGCAAAAGCACTTTCTGATAAGTTTCGATGTTGATTTGGAAGCGGAAGAAATGATACATGGCCCTCGTTATAATCACTGGTCTTGTGAGATGTTTTCTTGTAAGCATATTCCTTCTGAATTCCTTCTAATGAAATTGTGCAAATGACATGTGCACTTTACAATCAATTTAGCTTTATTGGGGTTCAATAATATAGTCTTTCGCAAAACACGGAATACTGACGATAGTAGTCCAAACACTTTCTCAACTACGCGCCGAGCTCTACAGAGTCGATAATTGAACAATCTTAGTAGATCCTTTGGGATGCATTCCAGAGTAAACCTTCCTCATATTTTGCATCAGAGGGAAAGCTTCATCGCCAATGAAATAATATGGCATTAACATTTGCCTACCTGGCAGTGTAGAGGGCTGTGGCAAATTCAATGATTCATCTTGTAGTTTTTATGGAATACTTCACTCATACTGTTATGGAATATTCCACCGTCTGATATTCGTCCTAGGCAACATATATTAATGTAAATAATTTTATAATTTGCATCCACTACTGCCATAAGTACAATACTAAAAAACCCCTTATAATTATGAAATTCACTGCCACTTGCAGGTGGTGCTTGAATTACTATATGTTTTCCGTCAATAGCGCCTATACAATGGGAGAATTGCCATATTTTCTCATAACCTTCTGCCACTTGTAAGCACTCCTCAGGTGAATTTGGCATCTGTAAAAAAATATATATTTTATAATTTCAGGCTGATAACAAGACCGAGGAAAATCACATGCAGGCTACTACGGCTGATTGCGAGTCGCAGTCAGCACATCCTATAAAAAAGAAAAGGAAAATGGAATCTAAAACCAATACAGATGACGACAATAAAATGGAAATGCCGCTATGAAAAGTGATTTTAATAATGACGAGTTAGCAAGTTACGGTACTTTTATCGCCAATAAATTACGGAAATATAATGAAGGGACCAAAAACTATGTGCAACATATTATATCGAATATACTTTTTAGCGCTGATCGAGGAGAATTTAACTATCCCCGTGGATACAGTCAACACTATAGAGATAATTATGGGAACGAAACATCTCGAGGATATAATACACTTTCAACATCAAATGAATCCTTTGTAAGTCGGAACCGATCCTGTGACTCAAATACAAACAGAGGCTACACTTCCTCTATCGAAGAGACTAGAGACTGCAACTTCCAATGAAGTCCGAGGTCCGAGTCGAGCCGGTGAAGCAGATACAGACGGGGGCGATACTCAAGATAGCAGTAACTTTGATATGAGTCAGATCTCAGATTATTTGAATGATTTGAATTGATCTTAAATAAAGTATAATGATACTGCCGTGAATGTTTTCTTTCAGTTCCTCTGTTATTGCTTCACATACATCTGGAATTATCTTCCCAATACTATGTCTTGATATTCTAAAAAGATACTGTAAACTAACGAAGGAATCACCTGTAGCTAAATAACGTAAAGTTAACGCTAATCTCTCCTTCGCCGTAATTGAAACTCTGAATCGTGTATTTTGCTTTGATATTTTAGCACCAATTGAATTCAATAAACTTTCAAAATCACTTGAAGATAAGGCAGTAAAGTTCTTATATTGACCACTTAATTCCTGCGATTTTAAGTCTAACATTAATTGCCCACCTCCAAGAGTTTGTCTTCTATTATAAATGTTCATTTGCCGCCATCTTCTATTTCTATTTTTCTTTTTTCTTCTAATATAATTCATCAAGATAAACGCAGCACACGCAACTTGTAGGTCCGACATTTCAAAAAAGAATGAACGCAAGGTACAACGAAATGTTGGTAAATGCACACTCGCTGTGAGCATTTACCCGTAACATAACGCCGAACATTCGCAGGAACGTTACATTACATGGAAATGCCTTGGAAACTGAGCTTTTGCTTGTATTGTACCATTCGTAAGAACATTACACAGAAATGCTCCAGAAAATGTTGTAGTCTATACTGACCTTAATATAGATCAAAACTAATTAAAAACACGTATTTTTTAAAAATAATAATTAATATTTTACATTACCTCGTGGAATCGAAGGAATGTGATGAAGCGATTTATGGACGAAGCACTTAAAACAGTGATTCCCAAAGTGGTCTATATCGACCCCTAGGGGTCTATGACAACCTGCAAGGGGTCTACGTCAGCGAAATAAAATTTGGGGGCCATGAAATGAAAATGGGGGTCCACGATAGTGGATCCCAACACATACACTGATAGTACCTATTTAATTACATCATACTATCTTATAATATCAAAACATATACATTATTTATAAAAGTACCTATGAAGTAAAAAAAATTTTATATATGTTTATAACATTGTGTAAGTTGTAGGATGTTGGTATTCGCTTTGTGGTCGCAATACATTTTGAACTTGTAAAAACCTGAGAGTCGCAGTCTCAGAGCTTCGCAACCTTGCACTGACTTGTTCAATTCGTCACTCTATAAATACGAATGTGGGACAAATACGTTTATTCGTTTCCGGAATCTTGAAAAGGAAAGTGCTAAGAAAATATTTTAAAAAATATAAACAGATAGTGCTGGAGAAAACTAAGTACATTATTTTTTATTAAATTTTAGTTTTGTACTCGTAGTTATCAAGGATAGATAAATTACGCCAATCATGACTTTAGTTATTAGTAGTTTAATATTCAATCATGCAAAATTACACGAGTACTCCTCAATAGTTTCTTTTTGAAAGTTTTAGCAATCGATATTATATTTACAGTGCAATCTCCGTAATTCGAGCTAATATACAGCTGCTGGATTTTCTGTCTTATCTAAATAATTTAATTTTGCCCACAGATGACTGATGCCATGTCCGGATCTAACGAGCGGCAACCCCACGTGTGAAAGTGAGTTATTGACAAAAACCACTAGTCATATCCCCGCCGAGTGTAAAACGAAAACCATTGCCAGTAAACTGAATATTTGGCAACCACTTACGAACAACCGGTGGATATACATCCAATCGCTTCCAACTAAAATATACATTGACTGCAGTGCTTCAGAAACCCGTGAGTTAATAGTGACGGGAATAGGTGTCCTACATATCCGTGAAAAGTGTATGGTATATACGAAAAACACAAAACTCATATCGTCAAATAGTGCTACAAATATAAGTGTTGGGGAAATAATTTAAACATCTGACTCCATGTTTTTGATTGATGTTCTTTAATCTTGAAAGATAAATGTTTTACAGCAACGTGGCAGTTAAATTTGTAAACGTATATAAAAATAAAAAATATTAGCACACTCGACGTGCGTTCGGCGTTGTATCGGTTTTCTGACTGGCGGGAAGGCTGCAGCCGCGCTCGCTGTCCGCGTCATGCTCTCCCCGCGTCTGCCTCTTCACCCCGTGCGTAACTCGGCGGCAACATAAGTATCCCTGTTCCTAGGTTAGATTTTAATATAATTAACGACTCTTGTTGTAAACTAGATCATAAGTCCGATAATGTAGACAATTTCGTGTCTCCTATTTCACTCCAAAATATCGACCTTAATGAATTAAAATTCAATACCGAAAATAGTAACTTACTTTCGAGTTTAGATAATATTATTCAAAAGGAACCCGCGATAGTAAAAAATGGGACACACTATTTCATATCCAATAGCATTGTAATTATAATTGTAATAATTGTTATATGTATTATAGTTTTAAAGATATACAACGTTTTTCCTAGACTTTTGAAAACTCCGACTAGTAATGAGAATGAAAGTAATAACCAAAATATAGAATTGCAACAGCATGAATCGCCAATATCCGCTCCGCGCCTAAAAGAATCAATTTTCTGAATTTCGGCTTTCTACCCCGAAATTGTTTTATGGGGTTATATTTCTCATACACCTATATAAGAACCGCGACGGGCCTGGCTCGCTCTCTTACTCTTCAATCTCAAGACCGGTCGGACGTCTACTATATCCGTTCCAGTTCTATATTCATTTTACTATATCATTTACTAAATCCATTCTAGTTCTAAAGTTATTGTAATTCAAGTGTATTGTGACTATTATATTTTAGGTTAATAATATAGTTTTTTTTAAAAACCTAATCGCGAGTTCCTGTATAATAAATAGATCGTATAGACAACCGCAAATAATAAATGATGAAATAAATAGACAAGTAAATATTTTATTTACCAATCATATAATAAGATCTTCATTTTCACTCTGAAATGCACCAGTACATCTAGTTCCTGAAAAGACCGATGCAAGCAACGAAACAAAAAGATAACTCAATCTATGACATTGAGACTAAAGAAAAAACTTTCAATGCCTCCCGACGACAATAAATATATAGAATCTTTTAATAAACTTTTGCGACCCTAGACTTAAATTACCATATATAGAAATTTTTGAAATAAACGCGAAATTTATGATTGACACTGGTAGTTCAAGATCAGTTATAAGCCCGGCAAATTTGAGAAATCGTGGTAATTACATTCACAATAGCAATGTGGTTCCGGAACACGAAGTGCATCTGTCTGAAAGTTTGCTTAGCGCTCAATCTATTGTTACAGTCATATGGTTATGACATAGTTACTAGATTAAATATTGTACCTAGGTAGTACGTAAATACATTATTTTAAAGATAATAAAAAAGAATACTCTAATAAAAAGCAGTAAACAGTAAGTACCCACCTAGATACATTACTTTTTTTTATATATGAAACTGACTAGCGCTTGACTGCCATGCCACCTGATGGTAAGTGTACTTAGTAAGCGCGCTAGCTCAGTAAAAGCCTATTCACATAATTATAATCGGATGGGAAGACCGATGATAAATGACGATGCGAATCTCTTTGTTCTTGTGCGTGGGACGTCGACAGCAAAAGGGTTCTTTATATTATTATAATTAAATATTTAATTTATTTACAATTAACTTTTATTCTGTTTTCAGGTAATACCGTATATAAGTTGAAATAATAAATAATAATAGCAATAGAAAAAAAAAACATTATTTTGTGGGTAAACTAACGAATGTTCCGTTATTGAAACCAAGTTATTAATACCTAACTTTAAATTGGTGACCCCGACGAAGAACAAAAACGCGATATCGAGCGATAAAAAATTAACGGCGCAAGCGTTACCCGGCGAACAATTCTAGAAAGATGGCGAGCCCTACAGCTGCGAATGTAATTGCCGATGAAGATAGCGTATGCAAAGTTGGAATAAAAATGCTGCCATTTTTCCCAGAAGAGCCAGCAAAATGGTTCGCCCAAATTGAAGGCCAATTTGCGATTTCCGGAATTATAGCTGATGCAACAAAATCTTATCACGTAATTGCGCAACTGGATCACCAATACGCTACTGAGGTCAAGGATATAATTACATCGCCACCACCGGAGGACAAATATGGGAAGTAAAGGCCGAGCTAATCGAGAGACTTTCTGCTTTACAGGAGAAGAAATTAATACAACTTCTCATGCACGAAGAACTCGGAGACCGTAAGCCATCCCAATTTTTGAGACATTTACAGACGCTAGCAGGATCGACAATACCAGACAGTTTTTTGCGTACGTTGTGGTGCCGTTTACCTCAGAATATCCAAACGGTGATTGCTTCGCAAACTGATATGCCACTGGAAGTTATCGCAGATTTGGCGGACAAAGTAAATGAAATCGCACCAACGACACACGTGGGGGCCAGCGCTAGTACGACGGCCATGTTTAGCGAGGTGGCCCACCAGATTGCGGCATTGACACGGGAGGTAGCCTCACTAAAAATGCAGGTAAACATTCCTTTAGAAATTACAATAGGTCAAGTTCGCACGAGAGGAGTCGGCTCCATAGTCCCACGGCGAATGCAGGTCCGATTTCACAAGATTTGCGTATTTGTTAATTTGTTACTCCATTTAAATGTATATGTGTGAATGAACTATTAAGTATACAGTTCTTAGTAAATTATCGAACTATTATTTACGATCCCTGTAGGAAACTCCCGCATAATTGGAGTTATTGTGTATTTTTTAGAAATTCAGATAATTTTTTAAGAATTTCTGCAGTTGAAAAATTTTTGCTAAATAAGTTTGGATAAACCAATAACGACAAACTACAACAATGGTGGTTTATATGGACATGGATAAGTTCTTAAACAAGGGAGATTTTTATTTTAGTTTGAAGCATAACCTTATATGGCCTTGGCCACAGACTCATTTCATTAGACGTCAATTTTGTTTTGGTTGTCATTCTATAGTTATAAATTTACCAAATCATCATTTAATACTAAGTAACAAAGAAGTATAAAAACTTCTATTTTGTAATTGTTTTTTGGTGTTAAACGTGCGGGTATGCTCATATGCTTATATGAGCACAATGTGAAATTTGTTTTTGATTAATTATATTTCTTTGTTCCTTTCATAACTAAATATCTACCTCAGTCAAAAGTACATTAGGCATTTAAATTTTAAACATTTTATGTTATAATTCATGATTATTTAAGTAAGTTTTGAGAGCTCCTTAGAAGTTGTCAATGAGTTACTCATTATGATGATTATGATTACACATTGTGAAAAGTTAGCATTAAAGTAAAATTGAATTAAGTATGCCAGCAATTAAGGGTGAAACTCTTATATTTCTACATTTATAATATCTCTTTTACGGTTATTAATTTTACTTAAATTTCAAATTAAAGTTTAATAGTTGTCTTAGAAGGTATTGATTTGCGTATATTTCATGGTATCCCTCAATCCTGTTGAGTCCGCTGTTTTGGGATTACAGTAGATTCAAAGCTCCATTGGAGTCCCCATCTATCATCTCATCATAATAAAATCCCACAGTCGGTATTAAATCTGCCACTAGATTAATTTAAACGCACAATTAAAAGTGAACTTATGGCTAAGGCTTATTATTAACATTGCGGTTTATCTTGAAGCCAATGTGTGGGGTCGATGGTGTTGATGCTCAAGTAGGCTAAAGTAAGATTTATACCTATTATATTGTAAACTAATCGTTTTAAAAAAAGACCAACTGTTGAGTTTCTTGCCGGTTTCTTCTCAACAGAAACTGCTTTCCGAACCGGTGGTAGCTTACTTACGAACGTATTAATTTCTATGTAAAATGTTGACGTTTCATAAGAACGCGCAAGCGTCTATGTGAATAAATATATTTTTGATTTTGATTTTTGTTAACGACCTTCATCATATTCATCCATGATGCAGTTTTCTGATTACAATACTCATTAAACTTTACCCGACAAAGTTTTTTTTAATGGCCTAATACTGATGTATTTATCTATCGCTACATACACACTACAAACGTACCAATAAATAAAATTGAAATGTCTGTCATATAATAATAACACTTTTTGAAAAAATGCGTATGACAGAATTACGAAACAAATATGCAATTTCAATTTTTTTGTCTGTCTGATAGTCTGTTTGTTCCTGGTAATCTCTGAAACAGCTCCATCCGTATGACGAGACTCATTGGCAGTAAAATGATGTAATATTGTAAAATAATAAATGTAAAGAATTGTTAATACTCGCCTCCATACTCCAGTTCCCCGGTATTACTATAACTTTATTCCCACAACTGATGCGTCCAAATATGACTTAGGCGCAGTTCTTTCACAAAGACCGATTGGAAGTAATAGGCCCATAGCATACTCAAGTCGCACCTTAAATGATGCCGAGACACGTTACAGCACAGTGGAAAAGATGTGCCAGAAGTCACGATATAAGAACAACAATTATATTTTAACGGCAACACGTCACTGTTAGTTAATTAGTCAATTCTTTTCCAGATTTCAAGCACTAACGAAGGGCAGGCAAAAAAAAAAAGAACCAAATCCTACTAACCCATATGCTGTAGAATAGGATCAGCAATACTTGAAGAAAAACTTAAAAGATCAAACTATAGAAGAAGTGCTTTTAAAAATGTGACTAAAGAGAAGGTTATTGACAAAGAAGTAAAAACCAGATTGCATAACAAATATCTTGAATGGCATAAGTTAAGGTCGCATAGATTGACAACAAGTAATTTTTACTCTATCACCCATAGAAACATTTAGCTGAAAAAGTATTAAATCCAAAGTCATTTTCCAGCATGGCTACACAGCTCATGGCAAGGAGCAAGAGCCCGTAGCAATACAAGGGTACTGTCAAGTTTATGATTTCGATGTGCAAGTGTATGGTTTATTTATATCAAAAATACAATACATCCATACTTGGTAGAAGTGTTTTCCAGCGCAAACGACGAGCGAGGGAAAGGCGCGGGCGTGGGCGGCACGCACCTCCCTCTAATCGTTTATTTCTTATATTGCTCCCGGACGGTACGGGCTGCATGCACGTACGGAGAACCGGTAATTATTGTAATAAATCTTTCTTTGCTGAATCAGTACCAATGTTATTATAAACACCTCAAGACAACAGCCCAAACAAAGTGAATGTCCATATGTTCCAAGATATGACGACCTGAATGTCGTGGTGGCTAGTGTACCTGCCTCCTGCGTCAGAGGGTGTGGGTTCGATCCCCACTACTGGAAAAATATTGTGTGATGAACATCGTGTATTTCTAGTGTCTGGGTGTTTAAATATGTATAATATTTATTTATTTACAAAAGAAAAGTATGTTTAAGTATGCTTATCAGTTATCTAGTACCCATAGTACAAGCATTGCTTAGTTTGGGACTTGAAAACTTTGTGTGAAAAATTTGTCCTAATATAATATATTCTCATACATTTTTCTTCTCATATTGTGAAGTAAATACTGTAACAGTACCATAACTTGAAATAAGGGGTGGTGAATTGTATTTTTAAGAGATTCATCCTTATTACTACCAAATTCAAGACCAGTTGCTCTGTACTAACGGCAAATATTGTAATTTAATCATATATCTTTCATGATATGAAAGTTATTTATATTTATAGAATTGAACCAGAAATGATATATAAACTAGCTTCTTTCTATAAGAATTATTTTGAAAAAGCCATTGTATTGTGTAAAAACTATGATAAATTAAACACAGGATAAAATATAATTTAAGAGCATGTTAGAATGTTATAATTAGGTCAATGTAATTTTATTGCTAATTAAGTTAACACTAGTACTAACTAAAAAGTGTGTGTATACAGCGTGTCGTTACAACCGCGATAATAAATGAACACACGTCTAACGCTACTTGCCAATAATCATAAAAAAATACAAAACGTTTAAAAAAATCCATAATTAAAAAAATATATTTTTCAAACAAACTAATTAAATAAAATAGAAATAAAATTTGTAACATCCTATTCAACTACAACTGACTGATTCATACATTCAGAGACATTTTATTCGTTGCCACAACGTCGATTTACAAGTCGCTTCTTCTAACAGAATGTTTTATCTCTTTTAGATTCATTGAATCCATTCATATGCTTTGTTACCGTTACAAATAAACTTCACGTTACAGTTTTATACGTAAGGGTGTTCTAAAAATGTTTGTTTTGTAAAATTTAATAACTCGGTAAATATTTATGTTTAAAGAATGTAAATGCTTTCATTTATCCTCTATAATTATGTATGTTCATTTATTGTCGCGGTTGTAACGACATGCTGTATATGTATTAATACAGTTTATGAACCCATTTTGTTTGTGATTAACTTTTGACTTTTTTACTTGAACAAAAATAGTGGTTTCTATAAACAAGCCTAGTGTAAATAAATATTAATATACCTAATTATATACTTTTGAAAATATTTAATTATTGCTACTTTATGTTAAAGTAAACCAAAAATATCTTAAATGTTAGTAAATCTTTATAATTTCTTTATAATTTATAATTTACCGCAACACTTAGTACGTATTGTCACATTGTCGCATTGTCACACCCGCTACTCTAGAACAAGCGTTATCAATAGTTATAGAGGAAGTGAACTTCAATGACCAATACACTATGCAGAATAAAATTCATGGTAATTTATCGACACCTAAGCCATCGACTAACGTAACTCCGATTGGTTTTAAATTCGGTAACACTCCTATGACGTCACAGAATCAAATCGGATATAGCCCTTGCTGCCCAATAATTTTCGTTATGGCACAAAAAGCAGATTTCACGTCCGATTATGCGCTTTTCCGGTCTGTTCCGTTTGCTCCGACGATCCGAGTTGTAAAGCGGTTTAATCGTTTGCGACTCGGTTTGTTTGAGTTTTGGTCGTTCTGTTTATACAGAATCAAATTTGTTCCGAGTGTTTGGCCGCGTTCGAGCGAGATTTGGCGCGAACGTTTGTTTTCGCGCGTCCCCCGGGCGCCTCGCCGCCCTTTATGCGCGTCCGACTGTCTCCGGAGTATAAGTAGTGTTAGCGCGGGAAAAAGGCCAGGCGCCGGCAGAGACAGCGACCGCGCCGAACGTCAAAGTCGGCGCGGCTGTTACGCCGGCGCCAAACGCCCGCCCCTCCGCGTCCCGCGACCCCTCTCGCGTCTCCCGCGCCTCGGTGGCAACATCGCGCGCTTCCTCGCGAGCGACAGTTTTTGCCTCCGAAAAAGATGAACCCGTGACTGAAGTGGAAGTCGCCGGCCCGTCCTCTCGACCCAGCTCCGACGACGACGGCTTCACTGTCGTTGAAGGCCAAAAATGGTGCAAACCCGAATCGGGTGGCCCCGTTAAAAAGCAGGCCACAAATGCAACACCCCAGGGGCGTCAGAGCCCCCGGGCAAAAAAGCAGGTGCCAATGGACACCTCCGCCCCTGCTGCCCCAGCCCCTAAGGCAATCAAAGCCCCTCCGCCTGTTATCATTCAGGACAAGGAGAAATGGCAAACCATATCAAAATTAATGACTGCCAGTAAAATTAATTACTATTACAAAGCCCGAGCGTTGGTTCACGGTATTCAGGTCTCACCGCAAGCGGTAAACGACCACCGGGCATTAACCAAACTTCTTGTCGAAAGGCAAATTTCTTTCCACACGTATGCGCTCGAAGATGAGCGCATACTTAGGGCTTCTTTCATCATCTACAAGTAAACCATAGATTAGTTACTTCCTGAGTAATGATAATTGGCAAGTAACGAATATCTTTTGTCAATTTCACAAACGAAATCAAAGCTCCAAATAAAAACTTACGGGTTAAGGGACTGACTTACCAAATCATTCATAAATTCGTTCAATATTACGTCAAACATCTCTTCTCAAACTTGAAGTATCAAAGTATCTCTTAGAGCCAACAAAGTTTGTACCATGATCGGAGAATAACTCTAAGCAGTCACCCCGTCGTGATACGAATCGCTTAAATGCCTTAATAAATGCGTCCGTACTTAGATCCACCGCTAGTTCTATATGAACAGCACGCGTCACTAAACAGGTAAATAAACAAATATATGCTCGTTCCCGGCGAGCTCCTCTATACCTACTTATCAAAATTGATATTGGACCCGCATAATCAACACCCGTTTTTAGGAACGGTTTAACCTCGTTTATCCGGTATGCTGGTAGGTCAGCCATAAAAGCGGTTTTTGTCTTCGGGTTAGCCTTAAAGCACTTATTACAATTTTGAAAACACTTACGGACCATGTTCCTGCCGGATATTATCCAATAACGTTGTCTGAGTAGTGATAGAAGAAGAGTCGGTCCAGGATGCAGAAATTTAGCGTGATAATACTCAATTAATAACTTAACTACGTGATCACCCTTAGGCAACAGCACCGGATGTTTAATATCGAAGCTGACATAAGCGTTTTGTAATCTGCCTCCAACCCTGATGAGTCCGTCCTTTGCAATAAAGGGTGAAAGAGTTTTAAACGATTTCGGAAGCTCACGATGTAGTTTCAAACTCTCAATTTCCTTCGAAAAGTTAACTTCCTGGACTAAGAGTAAAATTGCTGTTTCAGCTAATATTAAATGGTCAACCACCATATGGTTTGAACGCGGAATCTTTTTTATAAGACGAAAAATATAAACAATAATTCTTAACAACTTAGACCAAGAGGACAATTTTAGGGCAATGTTGTATAATAATGGATTTTCTGTAGTTGCGCTGAATAATGCTGCGACGTTTGTTTTTAATTCATAATCAAAACTTTTAGTCGAGTCTGAACGTTCGAAAGTAAAACGCTCTATTGGCCACTCACAGAACTCCGCGCCCAGGTTGGACCGTGCATCCATAAGGGATTGTTTAAAAGTTGAGAAGGAAGCAGACCCCGAGAAATACAATCACTAGGATTGTCCTTCCCGGATACGTGGAAAATATGTTTAGCTGATAAGTAATTTTGAATTAACACGATGCGATTAGCTACATATGTTTGAAAACATATAACTTCCGAGGGTTTATTATCCCAGTCCGTTTTTTCTATCCACAGAGCCTTCATTATTAGCTTTGCCTTTAATATGACCGGAGCGCAAAATCCATTAATATCCCATAGTTTTGCTATGGTGGAAAGTATAACGCGCTTAGTTATGACTTGAGGTATTTCTTTCACCGAAATATTGAATTGATCCTTTATAGGGCACCATTTTAATCTCAAAATTTTTAAATTATCCGTTTCGTGAAAATCAACCTGGGTTAGACTGTGATTTTTTGGTATGAATTTAAGTAATTCTGAACAGTTACTAATAAATTTTACGAGTTCAAATCCACCTCTTAAAAACATTTGAATTAGCTCATTTGAGAGGGCAATGCCCTCTTGCGGCGTACAGACCGAGATACCGAGGTCATCCATAAATAAATAGCGCAGAGCAACCTCTGAAGCCTGTGGGAAATGCTTATGCTCATTCTTAGCCAACTCCCGAATTGTTCGAATAGCTAGGTACGGACTGCATGCCAGTCCAAAGCAAACACGGTTAAATTCATACAAATTTGGATGTATTTCATCTGGAAATCTATACAAAATGCGCAAATATTTGCGAAAAGTGGGATGTACTATTATCTGTAAAAACATTTGTTTGATATCGGCGCTAATCGCAACGGGGAATTATCGAAAATTAATAATAATAGATGTCAAGTCATTCTGTAAGTTAGGTCCGATATGCAAGCAATCGTTTAAAGACAAATCGGTTGACGTTTTAGAACTCGCGTCTAAAACTATTCTTAATTTAGTGCTTATTTTGTCGTCACGAATCACGCCATGGTGAGGAATTATGTATTGTAATTTATTAAATGGCGTGTCATCTTCAACTCGCGTTATGTAACCCTTACTGATGTATTCCATAATAACACCATCGTATAGATCGCGTAAATTTTTGCTAACCCTAAATTTTCGTTCAAGGGATGCATATCGTTTTGTTGCGGTTCGAAAAGAATCGCCCAAATCGGAAGGATCGCGTTAAAATGGTAGAACCGTTATGAAGCGGCCGTCAATACTCCGAGAGATACCTTTGGTATATAACATTTCACATTGCTCCTCAGCAGGTGATAAATGTATTTTATCTGGTACATCCTCGGTGCTTAAAAACTTGTCCATTAAACTTTCGATAGAATCCTCGTTAGTGCAGCAATATGCACTAACACTCTCTTCGAGAGTGGAAGCGGAAGATGGCGCGGTTCGCGCGACGCGAACGGCTCCGACGACAATATAACCGAATATTGTTTCTATTGCGTCGGGTTCACCTTTGGGACCTAGTATTTTATTGCCCTTTAAAATCCTTGCAAACACCTCTGAGCCTAACAGTATGTCTATAGGTCCCGGTAAACAGAAGTGTTCATCCGCGAGCGGTAAATTAAATAAATAATCGAGTTTGGAATAATCTACCCTAGTTTGCGGTAAATTTCCAGAAATCTTGTTCATCACTAAAGCATCTATGTTAAGATTAAAATTACTATAACGTGAATGTAAAGTTAAATTTGTCAACCCTTGAACTGATTGTTAGCTGTTGCCTATACCTTTCACTCCAATTTTTTTCTTGTGGCTGGCGAATATTAAGGCCTAGTCTTTTACAACATTGTTTCGTAATAAAATGTTTTTGCGACCCCATATCAATGAGAACTCTAACCGTATGAGTGATAGAATTTTTGTTTTTAACATGAACAATCGCGGACCCTAACAAAACTATACTATGAAATAAGTGTTCAGACACTTTTGGTGCACTGTGGCTACATAATGAAACGACTCTGTTCTCACTATCCTGCAATGTATCTGTCTTATCGCAAACGTATGTAGCCGTGTAGTCAACTGATGTTCCTGCGATCATAGCGCTCGTGTCGGTTTGCGATTTATTTCCCCCCCCGACCATTACAGGTGTATATTCCGAAAAATGTAACATAGAATGATGTTTGTTTTGGCAATGTTTGCATGTAGAAAGAGATTTACAGTTCATATTTGTATGTCGAATGCTTAAACAATTTATGCACCCATTTTTTTCTTTTACAACCCTATACCTGTCCCGTGGACTCAATTTCTCAAATTTAGAGCAATAAAATAAATGTTCATGATCGGGTGAACGACATAAAACGCAAGATCGATTATTATAATGTTGCGATTGACCTTGAGTTTCATTATTCCCCATAAACGCTCCAGAGTTCCGTACCTGTTGCGAGTTCAAATTCGAGAGCCTCGATCGTGTTGTCCCGCTTCCTACACCAAATAAATGCATTACTAGCTGTTCTTTGTAAGATCTTTAATTGTTCGCGAAGAAATGTAATAAATTCATTATACTGGGGAAACGTCTTTTTTCTTACACTACTTTCAAACTGTTTAGCAGTCTCCATATCGAGCTTGCGCAGGCCTAAATGCACAAAAATGAAATCTAACAGGTCGTCAATTTTTAGTTGTTTTATAGCGGCAACTGATGTGGCATATTGATCAATGAAACTGTCCAACGATTGTGGGTTAGCGTTATGCACCGGCTTAAGGTTCAATATCTTATCTATGTATGCAACAGCGATCGCGCGGTCATCGCTGTATTTTTCAACTACCGCTTCATAAATATGGAAATAATTTTCCGCGGTAGGATTGATACCTAACCAAATACTTTCGGCCTTTCCCTTTAATTTAGCAATCAAGTATCTTACTTTCTGAGTGTCATTTAGGTCGGTATTATTATGTACCATTGAGTTAAAAGACTCGATGAACATGGGAAACTTTTCATATTCACCATAAAACTCAGGAATCGATAACTTTTCTAATCTTATATTATGTGAATTGTTAGAGCTTCTTTCGACCGTTTGAATGAACGTAACAGTACTAGGGAGCGCGTTAGAAAAGTTTTGCATTGCGTCTTTTATTTCACAATAAAAATCTTCAAAGGCCCATATTGGTTCGAAATTCGGAACATATTTCGGATTTAATAACAATTTTAACTTATTCAGTTGTTGAACTATCTCTAGGTACTCAGTACGCATTTCATTAATGTTTATGACCCGTTTTAAGAACGCGGAACATAAGGGGTCATTAGTAGATTTAGGTATAGATTCGTGCAAACGTTTCATACGTAGAAAATAGGACTGCATTTTTGCTTCTGCCATACTTAAATCAGTTTCGTAACCTCCTGAACCGCCGGCAACCTTTTCAGACTTAGTATCGTCCTTTATTGGAAGCGCCATTTTTAAATTTTTAATAAAAGATATTATGCGGGTACACTATAACGTGTAGTAGCACCGGTGTACGCGGCTTAATATTTAAGTTTTTATACCAAATACTTGATTAAATAAATTGTAATAATCACACATTCAACCTGTACACTATATTATAAATTATAAATACGTAAATAAAATCTTTTGTTTAGAGCAAATATGGCGGACGGATCGGAAGAATAAGTAGGTACGTACACGGGCGTTGAAACAACGCGTTAGGGTCCGTTCACACAGACCGGCTCGGAGAGGAGAGCAGATTTTTATCACGTTGGAAACAGTGTTTTGAGTGATTGTAGTAAAGTTTATTTTTGCATTTGCACCTTTTTTGTCATTAAAAATGCCTGAACGCGCTTCGTGTGAAGTAATAAAAGGAGCCGACCGGCTCCGCTTGCGTGCTCTTTCTCGCTCGCGCAGCCGATGGGCTCCGATTGCGTGCTCTTTCTCTATCGCGTAGCCGATCGGCTCCGATTGCGTGCCCGCTGCGGCCGCGCCGACCGCCATTTTGATAGCAACATTTGAACGTAATAGTTGTGCGTACTTGTACGAAAAGATGAATGATGAAAAATTAATAATACTCGTGTCAAAATATGAGTGTTTATTTGACATAACCAAGCCATCATATAGCGATCGGATAATGAAAGACAATGCATGGGAGGAAATTAGCAAATGTCTCGGAATAAGTGGTAAGTAAGGTTTTCATTGTTTTACACCTACCCCCAGATACTCAAACGAATTTTAAAGCAAGGGCTTCTTAAACTCGTGCTGCGACGTGTTAGATTCAAAGTCAAAATAGGAATAACATGAGTTTAAATGCGCCCTTACTTTAAAAACTCGTTTGAGTATCTGATCGTTAGAATATACTTATGTAGTAGACAATTTTTATTAAATATAACTTAAGAAACTCGCGTAGCCACTTGATCTTGCCAATCTAAAGCACCACTTGATGAAAAATAATCCTTAAATTTATTCCTTGTGGTTAGAACTGCGTCGCTATTAGAACTGTTTTCATTATTATTGTCTGTTATTGCTGTTAATAAATTTATATTGCTGTGAAATTCATTCTCTTGTCCTGGCGTCCGATTTTCTATTAAAAAATTATGTAAACATGTAGTTGCTAATATAATTAAATCACAGTACTTCGGCTGAATTTTCATTCGTTTTTGATAAATTTCAAATCTTTGAGTTAGCATTCCAAATGCACATTCTACGACTTTTCTTGCCCTGCTTAAACGCAGATTAAATACTTTTTTTGATAATTCTGTTCTTGCTTGTTCTCTTGGATACGGCCGCAATATATTATTGCTCAAAGGAAATGCCTCGTCTCCTATAAAAACATGTGGTAAGCTTTCAGTGGTACTAGGTAGAGGTTTATTTGGGGGCAGCTTTAACTTATTGGTGTTGAGTTTTTTCCAAAATTTTGAATTCTGTAAAATTCCGCCGTCGCTATTTTTACCATATGATCCGACATCAACAATTAAAAAACTGTATTTCGCGTCGACCACAGCTAGTAACACTGTACTGAAAAAGTTTTTATAATTATAGTATAAGCTTCCACTATTATCTGGTGCCTGTATATTGACATGCTTTCCGTCTATAGCGCCCAAACAGTTAGGAAAATTCCAAATATTAAAGAAATCACGTGAAACCTTTTCCCACATTTCTTCATCTGGCATCTGCATAACTATGGGCATCAAAACATCACAAATTACTCTGATTGTCTCATGAATAATTGAATGAACTGTAGAAATTCCCATTCGAAAATTAAATGACAAGTTTTTGAAACTGCAACCAGTGATGAGGAATCTGTAAAAATAAAACAAACACACAAAATAGAAATATAAGACTGCCGTACCAAAACGAACTATAAAATAAAAAAGAGTTATGTTATTAATTTTTCATTTCTGTTCTTTCCAGTGACGTAGTGCCAGGATCGTTGGAAGAAACTGCGAGATAACTTCAGAAAAGCCTATTATAACCGAAAAGGCAAGAGTGGCGATGGTGCAACTACGTCCAAATTGATAAAATTTGAAAAAGAACTTTCTTTTATAATACCATTTTTTCGCAATCGAAACCAAATATCTAATGTAACATTATCATCGGATGATTCAGAGCCTGGCACACCAATACCACCACCATCGACATCATCTAAACGTTCTGACCATTCGAAGTTGAATCGCTTGCAAGTACTTCTGGCTCGAAAAAGAGACCACGCTTAAGCAAAGATGTTGCTACGGTTTTCGAAGAGTATCTTGAAGAAAAAAGAAATACTACACCCCGTGACAAGGCATTACGTAATTTTTTTTTGTCTATGTCAGATACAGTGGAAACATTCCCAAAAGAAGTCCAAGCACGAATTAAAAGGCGCGTGTTTAACATTGTTAATGAAGCTGAATTAAGTCTGTATGAAAATAGTACAGATTTGAATTATTCTTTGTCTATAAATTCACCGCCATCGACTAATCAATCTACTTACCTAGTGTCAAACGAAACCTATATTCCTCAAAACTATCCAGATCAGACTACTTACGGGTACAATACCAGCACACAAAATACAAAATAATGAACAATCAAAAACAATAATAATTATAATAATAATAATTAAACACACACAAATCTGTACTATTTAATTACATTTCATTAACGTAAATAATGCTTAATAAATGGAGGGCTGTGATTTTGTGATCTATTTAGATGTTTGTGTTATTTAACATGATTAGTATAAGTAATTTACATTTCATTAACGTAAACAATGCTTAATAAATGGAGGGCTGTGATTTTGTGATCTAAATAACATGATTAGTATAAATAATTGTTTTTTATTTACCTTAAAGTTACCGTTAACCTTTCTTCGGCTGTAATGGTGCAACGATAATTTGTAGTCTTTTTTGTTATATGTACTCTTAACAAATCTGTCAATTTCAAAAATTGCCAATATTCCATACGATAATACTCATAAAATTTTAGGCTATCTCTCTTCAATTCCTCGAAAATTGTGTGAAACTCCCCATGGATTAGTCTGTTTTTCCAAATATGTTTTACCCATATTTGTTTCCGCTTGCGCTTACGTTTCCTATGTTCTATTTCAAGTAATCTTGCTAACAAATATATTTCTTCGTCGGAGCTATCTAAATCCATGTTTCGAAAAGCACACGTTAACACACCGAAAACAAAACTTAGACTGCGCGGAATACTGGCACTGCCTTTGTAGTGTATCCACCCGACTCCGAGCGCATCCGACCGGCTCCGAGCACATCCAACCGCACCCGCTTTTCAGATCTCTTCCAGCCGGTCGATGTGAAATAGTTGGCGGCTCCGCTCCGGCCAATTCCAAGCGTATACGACCCGGTCTGTGTGAAAAGAAAAAAGCAGGCCGATGCTCTCCGAGCCGGTCTGTGTGAACGGACCCTAAAAGTTGTCAGTCTAATCGTAGGGAGGTTTTTACAAATAGAAAAGCTAATCCAAGCTCGAATGGACCAATTTTATGGTGGTATTTCCACCGACGCGGGCTGGTTCACTTTATCTATTATTAAATTACCCCTAGGCTAAGTACACAGTAATCCCAGAAGTGTAGAAAATTAATGTGTCACTCACCGAATTCTGTTGCTTCTTTCTTGTCTCTGCTAGTCCCGGGACAGCCAGTTCAATCGCTAATGATAAATTAAATTTCTTCCATGAAGAGGCGCGCGTGCGTTCCCGACAAAACTCGAAGATGACAAGTAGTTCATATTATATTTTTTCCGCCAATCACCGGTCGCCAATGTTGCCAGCGTTAACCCGGTGTTTTCTAGTTACAATTTTTTATTCGGCCGACCTGTGACACCGCTCCACACAACTAGGATACGAATGCGCTCAACCAGATATAATGTTACATATAATTTGGATTTGATAATTGAAGCTTTGTGTAAATAATACAGTTTGAAAACTTTTAACTTTTCTCACTCACGGTTACTGCTGTGGTTGGATAGGCATAGCTATCATCATGTTTTTTCTTAATAACAAAATATGTATATCAAGCATTGTATAACTACTTTTTTTCTGTTATAGATAAAGCTTTATATGTCACTCCAAGTGGGAATGTGTTCTTACTCCAACTTCATTAAATAAAAAGTGGGATTTAACAAGTAGAAAGAATTTAAAATCAAGAAAGCATCCAGCACTTATTGGTATGACATAATGATTATAATAAAAGATTTATAAAAAAAATACAATTATTTCTAATAATGATTTCATGAGTATTTTTCCTTTATAGCAAGTACACAAAAATGCCAATTTGATGAGTTGACTAGAGCTAAGTTGGAACTAATTCAACTCCAAAAAGAACTTTTGGAAGCAGAGAAAATAGAGAAAAAGAAGGAGTGGGAGTTTAAGGAAAATGAACGAAAATGGAAGGAAGAGGAGTATAAATTAAGATTAGCAAAATTAAGAAAATAATTAAATGATTAACTTAATTATGTTTGTTTTATTTAAGAATTACTATTAAGTAATGGTAAAAAATAATCTTGGACCAGCCTATTCCTTGCCTCATTAACATTATTTAACTCTGAGCTTTGTGGTAAAATTTCTTCAGTTTCTTGTGAATGTGAAGTATGTGAGTCATAGTTATCCCCAAAGTTGCTTTGATTGGTATTGTAACGACCTATTAATAATAATAAATATTATTATTAATTAGTCATAATAAAGATCAATTAAGATGAAAATAAAACGTTTAAGAACGTTTAATCACAATAAAAGTTAATAATATATACTTAAATTAAAGAAATATAAGTGTTAGTATGAGAAAATGATATTACCAAAAATTGATAAAAAATATATCAAAGTATAAAAGTTATACGGGTACGGATTGCCCGACCGTCTCATATGCATAATACGAGACTTCCTAAGTAACCGGACGTTTCCCTATCACATCGGCGTGTGTTCGACAACGCATCCCGTTCGAGCCGGGATGCCCCAAGGGTCGGTGTTGGACCCAGTCTTGTTTACGCTCTACACTAACGACATAAGCGCGTGTTAAGTATTTTATTTATTTATTTATTTATTTAGGATATGGAAGACTTACAGCTATTCAAATCTAACTAATCCTAAACTAGATAACAAACATCCAATAACAAGTCTTCACTTATAGAAATATTATAGTTGGAGAGCAGACAAGTACTGTAGCTGATTAATATGGTAAATTAAAAAAAAAATACAAATGATATTACAAGTTAAATTTATAAGACTATTTTACCTATTTATCTTGCTTAAAAAAGTTAAGGCTTAAGTACCTTCTTGCCGATGACACACTCATTGTGAATGGATCAAAATCGTGCTGTTTACATATTTTATTGAAACTTGCAATTGCACGCACAATATAACTATTTTGCCTATAATTTGATGACGCTTTAGGCAAATGCAAGGGCGGCGTGAAACGAATTGATTTGCACGGGACATTTATATATAGTTTGGTTAATAATTGAGGGCAATCAATTTCATTATTCAAAATTTTTAGTATAAAGACGTAG